GTGGAAATTTCCAATATTTTCATCGATCTGTATTAATTTCAGTTTTAGAAATATTACATTTTTTGGTTTTGTCAATGCATCTACCGCGCAGTTACTTCTGCCCAATAACTGGAGGCATTGATCATTAGAAAATTTTCTTTGGTTTGGTAATCAATGTTTTTTTTAAAGGGGTTATGAAGCGGGCAGGTCTTCTTCTCTTAGCAGCTTCGCGAACTTCGAGATGTCTTTCGGGTTGTTCGTGGCAACAGCAGATGCACAGGTAACTTGTAAATTTGTTTGGTCAATAAATTTAAGACTGGCTTGTAACATATATAGACAGTAAATTAGTATTTTCATTTTGTTGGAAATTGACTGCCCACTTCCGGTTACCGTAGTCGAAGAAACTCAATCTTGAAGTATTTTTTAATGGCATCAAAGAATGAATTTGAATGCTCGGCCGGCAACGCAGTAGTTTTCAGAGCAATTTTTGCAGTTTTGCGTCTTTCCTGCCTTCACAACTCATATGTTCTCACGATAATAAAGCTTCTAACGAAAAGGATATGAAGAAATCTAAAACTTAGTTTTTTCCATATCTCGTTTCAAAGTCAAAGTTCTGCTTGGTTTTTGTGGTTTACAAGGAGAGATTGAAATTTAGAAAAACATGTGGTAGTTGAGAAAGAGCGTTCTACAATCACTCCGAAATTACTGAATTTTGTAATGAACAAAACGAGCAACAGCAATCTGAAATGGCTCATGTACCGCCGAAAAATGCAACTTCCAACTTAAATAGAGTACCAGTCTCTGCTCAGAAGAATTAATAAGTTAATTGTTTTTGTTTTGCCAATTTCAAGTGATATTTTTGCATTAGTAAAACCAAAAAAAGTTTGAGGTTTTTAGTGGAAAAAGTGCACGATTTGACGCAGGATGGTCCACAGGTAATCAGGATTTTTATGGGTAGAACTATTTATTTCCTTATTTAGAAGATTTTGTTTTGTATATGTCATTTAACTTAATACTAACGGCATCTAGGGTTCCTTTAACCTCAAGTCCTCCGTCCGCATCACATACTCTATTCAGTTCCATAGCAAATGATAATGAGAAGAAGAAAGTGGAAGATGAGAAAAAAGAAAGTAAAAAGGAAGAAAAATCAATGAACTTTGTCTTGAAAAGAGGAAACGTTAGGCTAACTAGTGAGTTTTTGAAGTGTTTTTTAGACGTTCAGTTTATAAAGCTTTGTTTTTGCTTTTTTTTTAATAATTATATTCAAACAAATTTCAGGTTCCGAATTTTTTGCGTATGTGAAGAAAACAGTAGGTGCTGAAGTTCCAGATGACCAGTTTGTTGTTCCACGTGAGGCTTATGACGCTCTCGCAGCAGAATATGACTCTGTCTGTGGTGAGGCAGCTGAGTTTAAAGTGAGTCTGACATAACAGTTGGATACTTTTTGAAGCGATTTTTGACTGTCGCGATAACTGACAGGTACTTAGAATTGCAGTGTAGTATCAAGTATGACAAAGAGGCTAAACCTTGTTTAAAATGCGTTCTTGGTAGGAAATGGGGAAAATAATTGTATAACGCACATTTTTCATTTTTGATGCACTTTGAATAATTAGAAACTTACAGCAAATCTGAAAAGAGTAGCAACGTAGTGTAATGAAGAGAACGGCGCAATATGCTGACTTTTACTTCTTCCTGCAGATTTTTATGAAAGCTTTTAGGATAAATACACTCGTGCTTTAGCAGAAACTGAGAACGTCCGTCGGCGTGGTGCAAAACAAGTTGAGGAGGCCAAACTTTTCCACTTACAGAAGTTTTCAAAGGATCTGATCGGTGTAGGCATAATTCAGTAATTCAAGATGACCTTTCGCGCAAAGTTTTCTACTGAAGTTTTTATGAATTTTAGGTTAGAGATATTTTGGATTTGGCTGTTAATGCGGTGAAACAGGAAGATATTGATGCTAGTCCGAAGCTGAAAGCTTTACATGATGGGATTGTTATGACCTGCAAAGTTTTTGAAAAAACGTTTTCTACTCACGGGATTGAAAAGGTTTCTCCTGTAGGAGAGAAGTTTGATCCAAATATGCATGAAGCCGTATTCCAAGTGCCAAAAGATAAGGTAAAAATGTGAGGGTTTCTATAAAATATATTGATATTAAAATCACCTACTATGCTAAAATGTTTCTTTTATTTTTTTTTAATGAAACTTGCTTAACAGTCACAACCAGGAAGCGCAAAATTGCCTTCGTTGATATTCTCTAATTTACGTTTTTTACATGATGATTTCAGGCGAAGCATAAGCCAGGTTACATAGAAGAAGTTATGACTATTGGTTACTCCTTGCATGGTCGTCCTATTCGTGCAGCGAAAGTTTCAGTTGTAGCTGAATGATATTCATTAATTTTGCGTGTCACATCACTTTAGTTTCCTATCATATCTTTTTTAGAAGTTGCTTGGAGTAATATATACTTTTTTATGCATTAGGAAAATTCAAGTTCAAAAATTCTACATTTTGCATTGTTTTTGGTTTAGAATTTGTGAAACCTAGTTCCTTCTAGATGTTCTCTTTACTATCTTATGTGTAATTTCTTTTATTTTCAAGATTTCTTGAACTGTTTAGCAAGTTGCGTAGCTCAGAGTTACTTAGAATTGTTATTTTGTACGTGCCGTGTCTTTGTAAATCTTTAAACGTTTTGTTCATTATAATTTTCATTCATTTCAGTTGGTCAAATTAACTGGTGAATAAGTTTTCCTTTCGGTGTTTTAAATTATTAGCATTTTTTGTTATTCTGTTGTTATCATTTGGTACTTGTTGACTTAATTTGTATATTTAAATAAACCGTTGTTGATCTGAATTGCTGCTCGGAACTTATTTTCTTCTTATCTGCATAACATAATATGCTAGTTATGTTTCTTTGTTGCTGACGGGTCCAAATTCCTTCTGCATTATAGTTTTTTTCGGTTTGGGTGTTTTTAAGGGACAGTTTTAGCGCATTATAGAGACCGCATTATCTATTATTTATTTTTATTAAGTGTGTTTTTTTTTTTTACATCGAGTTTTCAGAGCTATGGTACGCGCTCAGGATGAGCAGGTGTGTGGTTCGAGTGGAGATACCTTAGAGGAGGACACAAGGAAAACGTACAGAGGGCATGTTTATAACCCTGACTTCTGGGTCGATGAGTCGTCGCGATGCAATTACTTACCGGAGGATGAAATGCTGGTTCTTTGTGACATGTTAGAAATTCTTTCCTGATAGATGGAAATTCCAGTATTTGTAAAATAGCTCAGCAGTGCATTTGTTGGCTAGACATTGTGTTTAGTGATCATGTCAGTGTTAAAAATCTTCATTTAGTTTGATAGGCCGGTTATCATGTCAGCCAAATATTATATCTCTCTCTACTCCTGTTACTGTTTGCGGTGATATACACGGGCAGTATTATGATCTACTAAAACTCTTTGGAACTGGTGGCAAAGTTCCTGAGAACAAATATGTTTTCATGGGAGATTATGTCGATAGGTGAGTAACTGAACCTCATTTTGAATTCTTTGAAATTAAGGGTCTTGTAATGTTAAGAACTATATTATCAGCAGTACTTCAGAGGATACTACAGTCTGGAAACGTTAACCTACTTATTCTGCCTGTTGTTACGGTATCCGTACCAAGTCACGCTTTTACGGGGAAACCATGAATCTCGAAGGATATCTTCTGTATATGGTTTTTATGATGAGTGCTTACAAAAATATGGCAACTCCATTGTGTGGCGCGCGTGTTGTAAGGTATAAGCCAGAATTATAATTCTTCACAAAGTTTAGAAAATTTTAGGAGAGAGGACAGATTTGGCCTTAGTAACATCAAAAGTTTGGGTTGGGAATTTCTTCTGTCGAACTTTTTGCTATGGTGCAACCCTTTTGAGAATGGCAACTTGCTTGCGCTATGGCAAACTGGGGTTTTTGCAATAAGTTCAAAGCGCTTTAAAACCTTATAAATTAAAAATCTATTTAGGGCTGAATTTCGTTTTTTGTGCAAAGATTTTGCAAACTCAAAGTTTTAACTGTTGGAAAGCAGTTCTTTCTTCAATTGTTACAATTCTGGAAACCTTTTACTGCGATAGCTTACTGCAATTCTCGTTTTTGGGAAATGCTTCGGACTTCAGGAAAAAAATCTTTGCGAGTGGCAAGAACTCTTCTGCTTTATATAACAAAACTTTTTGAGAGCGTTGGTTCTGCAGTGATTTGGAGGTTTAGAGCTACTTTGCCAGTAAACTTTGATATGGTAGTGAAGCTGAAGGTTTATTTGTTTTATGTACATGAAGTTGGTTTGTGTAGAAAAGTACCAGGGTTTTGGCACTTGTGCTTAGAATGGGTCGCTCTGAAGACTGCCGGTAGTTTAAGAGAGACCTTTGGCTGGGGCTAAATGGAATGAAAACAGTAATGTTATTTTTTAGAGACGTCTTACACTGGTAGAGCTAATTGTTCATTTAATCAGTTATTTATTAATCTTCTGTTTGTCAATTAATTACTCGATTGCTTTTAGAACTTTCGTTCGCCACTAGAACAAAAAGCTTTTCCTTTACGTAGGGTATGCATGATTATAGGTCTTTGATGTCCTGCCCATCTCTGCTCTTATTGATGGTCGCATTTTTTGCGTTCATGGAGGCCTTTCACCAGAAGTAAATACCTTGGAACGAATTTTAACCATAGAAAGGTTGGTTAGTTAAAAGCAGGTCTTATTATGCTTTTTTTAATGATTTTTTAGCTTTGTCTTCTTGTATTTCCAGTTTAGTGTCCGAGTTGAATTAGATTTAGAATATACGTTTTTTCTGATAAAAGTTTTAAGAACGGCTTAGTATTACAAGGGTATCCAGATGCACCCGTTGTAGACACTCCCGGAAAAAATTTTTTTGAAGTTGGTCATGGCTCGCCAGTGAGAAATAAATAAAAGTTATTCTTAGTATTGTTTTTACTGAAACACTTATCTTGGTTGTTATTAGTAACTGTTCTTTCAATGCATTTTATGAAGTGCGTTTAGTGAACTTTTTTTAGAGCGCTCGAAATACCTAACAAAGGCGCATTGTGTGACATCATGTGGTCTGATCCCGATTCTTCTGCCACTGAAGGATGGGAGTTGAATCGTCGTGGTGCTGGCTGGGTAAGAAGTCTAACTAAGATTTCAAAAGTACTTGAGAGTAAATAATGCATAAACCATTTCACTGTTTAAGATGTTTGGTCGTGAAGTTACAAAACGATTTCTGGATACCAATGATCTGGAATTGATTTGTCGGTCGCACCAGTTGGTGTCTGAAGGATTCAAATACGCATTTGACGACTTCCTTTGCACTGTGTGGTCAGGTAGCCTTCTAACAGCAATTGCTGAAATCACTTAAGATTTTATTTTTTTTCTTCAATCGTGAATCTCGTTGGAATGAATATATAAAATTCAGCTTTTACGAAATAGTAAAAAAACTCAGAAAATACTTCCTTTTAGTTCATTCGGCTTTTTTTAGCGCCAAATTACTGTTATCGGTGTGGAAATGAGGCAGCTATATTGAAATTAGGTCCTAATGGGGAACGCGAAGTCGTAAAATTTGATGCTGCAGCTGAAAATGAACGCGAAAAACCTGATCGTGTCGTTGCTCCCTACTTTTTATAAGTATTCCTCAGAACTTGAAAAGCGCTGAGTTTTTATTTTTTAATCTTTATTTCTTATCTGGCGTTTGTATCGTTTTGGAAGTATTGTCCAGCCCCACAGACTGAAAAGTTCTTTTCCATTTTTCCAGCGGAACTGCATTGTTGTACAAAAGCTTAGTGCAGTCATTTCTGGGACTTCATTTTTTATCTTTATCGGAACTTTTTTGCTTTGTAATTATCAGATATGTCCACGTTTTTGAACTTTTTCGCGCTCTGAGTTGTAGATTTAATATTCATATAAACTCCTCAAAAGATTTATTTGGTCGAAACAGACTTCCGAGAAATATTTGTAAAGTTTTTGCCTTGAACTGCTTATTTCCTCCATGATCTGGTGAATTACATTTTTTGTGATATACTCTATATTGTATTCTGGCTTTATATTTGTTTTACACCATCCGTTGGCACCTACTCAGTTCATTCCAATCCTTGCTAGAAACTTGATTCCATATCGTCGTAGACTCATAACAGTTTAAGGTTTTAGCAGTTTTTGCCAAAAACATGTTTTGCGAAATAAAGAAAGAAGCCTTTGTAGCAAACGTTTAGTTTATTCTTGGAATTTCAATTAGTCAGTACAGGGTTGAAAGGAAGAGATACTTTTGTGTTCAAGTTTTTGACTTGGTGATGTTTTGGTTTCTCTTGGTGACTTTCTGAGCGATTTATGATGGTAATCCGGCTACACGTGACCGGTATTCAAGCAGTATTGGTAAGGCCGCACCAATATTTGAACTAATGCAAATAACTGACCTTCTCAAACGTCAGGTGTGCGGCTTTCCGATTTTTTTGTTTCAGAAAAATTTAAGACCGACGTTTAGCGAATCTAAACGTTCGCTTTTTTGAGTAACTTCTAAATTACCTCCAGCCTGTGGACTCTGGTTTCGTTGGCGAAAGTTTATATAGGCGGATTTATTTCTAATTCGGTGTGAAAACTTTTGCTGGCGAAAATACCTTCTTCTGAAAGACTCTAACGGTTTGGGCTGAATGCAACTTTGTTATACGAAGGCACCCGGAGGTTATATGACCAACCTCTGTAAAAGTTTGCGAAACTTCTGTGTCGCATGTTTACATGATGTGTTGTTAATAACATGCTGTTGATTAATGATTTGCTTCATTGTCTTCCAAAATTTTTAAAGCTTCTTTCGCTAATTTTTAGTGGAAATTTGACGGGGTTTTCTTTACAAATACACATCTTTTAACGTGTTTATTATTATAACTTTGCTCGTTTGCCGGAAACATCTGCTGTTTTTTTTTTAATGATCTATTTAAGAAGAAGTTAAATATTATGTAAAAAAAAACGTAGCGTAGTAGTACTGTCAGATGAAAAAAACGGTTTGAAATGAGGAATTCAAGAAATGCAACCCCCTATTAGATGAAAAAAATTGAAAAATAATAACGAAAGAGCAAATGATTCCAAAAAAAAGGGCAAATGACGGGAAAGAATCGGCTTTCATTTGGACTGGTGGCCTCATCATGCTGATTGGCTGGAGCG